CAAAAGAACATTCTAATTTGTTCTGATTTAGCGATTGTCAATTGACAAAAGAACATACTGGAATGGCAAATATATTGTCTAGATTGTATGGATTTAGTCGTTAAACCCGTAACTATCGTTCGGAATACCCCGTGTTAAAGTTTTCGAGGTTGCATGATTAGAAATCACATTCCGACTGTCACTTTCATGACCTGGTAAGCGACGCTCTGATTGGTCGGATGAAAGGTTGTTCTGACGTGACCCCTAATGGGATGTCCTCAGGTCTTTGTTTGTGATTTTAATGAGATTGCATATCACCTCACCTCACATGTGTCCCTTGCGCAAAGAGGGAAGTGTTTACCAACCCGTGCAGCTTTCCGTGTCAACTTGCCGCTAAAGTGAGTGAGTGAGTGAGTACGGTTTTACGCCGCTTTTAGCAATATTCCAGCAATATCACTGCGGGGGACACCAGAAATGGGCTTCACACATTGCACCCATGTCGGGAATCGAACCCGGGTCTTCGGCGTGACGAGCGAACGTTTTAACCACTAGGCCACCCGACCGCCCCTTCGCCGCTAAAGAAAGTCAAAAAGCTGATTTATATAGCCTGTGGCAAAGTACTACCGTTGTATCGATCGAACCCAAGCCGCCAGAATATGGATTTTTCTTGTCCAATAATGCGGACAGCCGCAGTGTAGATGCAACACATCAATATCGTTATATGCTAACTTGTTAGACCTCGTAGTTTTGTGGTGAGTTATCCAGGTGCTTGGCTCGATTCCACAGTGCATGAAAACCGGTATTGGTGTCAAACGTCGTGACAATGCTTCGAAAAGCGGCATAAAACCATATACACTCACTGGTGAAGTATTTAAGTTTGTGGTTGTACTAACAACATGTAGAGGCGGGATAGACTTGGCCGGGTTCCGGGTGCAGAATAGGCCCGAATCTGTATCATTTACCCCATCACAGAGAGTGAGTGAAGAAGTGAGTGAATGAAGGAGTGAGTGACTGAAGGAGTTAGCGAAGGAGTGAGTGAATGAAGGAGTGAGTGACTGAAGGAGTCAGCGAAGGAGTGAGTGAATGAAGGAGTGAGTGAGTGAAGGGGTGAGTAAAGGAGTGAGTGAAGAAGTGAGTGAAGAAATGAGTAAAGGAGTGAGTGAAGAAGCGAGTGAAGGAGTGAGTGAATGAGAATATTCTAGTCATAGAGTAAAGATGTGAGCGAAGGTGTGAGAGTGAATGAAGGAGTGAGTAAAGGAGAGTGAAGGAGTGAGTGAGTGAATGAAGGAGTGAGTGAGTGAAGAAGTGAGTGAGTGGTGAAGGAGTGAGTGGAGGAGTGAGTGAGTGAAGAAGTGAGTGACGGAGTTAGTGAGTGAGTGAAGAAGTGAGTAAAGGAGTGAGTGAGTGGAGGAGTGAGTAAAGGAGTGAGTGAGTGGAGGAGTGAGTGAAGAAGTGAGTGAGTGGAGGAGTGAGTGAAGAAGTGAGTGAGTGGAGGAGTGAGTGAAGAAGTGAGTGAGTGGAGGAGTGAGTGAAGAAGTGAGTGAGTGGAGGAGTGAGTAAAGGAGTGAGTGACGGAGTTAGTGAGTGAGTGAAGAAGTGAGTGAGTGGAGGAGTGAGTGAAGAAGTGAGTGAGTGGAGGAGTGAGTGAAGAAGTGAGTGACGGAGTTAGTGAGTGAGTGAAGAAGTGAGTAAAGGAGTGAGTGAGTGGAGGAGTGAGTAAAGGAGTGAGTGAGTGGAGGAGTGAGTGAAGAAGTGAGTGACGGAGTTAGTGAGTGAGTGAAGAAGTGAGTAAAGGAGTGAGTGAGTGGAGGAGTGAGTAAAGGAGTGAGTGAGTGGAGGAGTGAGTGAAGAAGTGAGTGAGTAAAGGAGTGAGTGAGTGAAGAAGTGAGTGAGTGGAGGAGTGAGTGAAGAAGTGAGTGAGTGGAGGAGTGAGTGAAGAAGTGAGTGAGTGGAGGAGTGAGTGAAGAAGTGAGTGAGTGAAGGAGTGAGTGAGTGGAGGAGTGAGTGAAGAAGTGAGTGAGTAAAGGAGTGAGTGAGTGGAGGAGTGAGTGAAGAAGTGAGTGAGTAAAGGAGTGAGTGAGTGGAGGAGTGAGTGAGTGGAGGAGTGAGTAAAGGAGTGAGTGAGTGGAGGAGTGAGTGAAGAAGTGAGTGACGGAGTTAGTGAGTGAAGAAGTGAGTAAAGGAGTGAGTGAGTGGAGGAGTGAGTGAGTGGAGGAGTGAGTGACGGAGTTAGTGAGTGAAGAAGTGAGTAAAGGAGTGAGTGAGTGGAGGAGTGAGTGAGTGGAGGAGTGAGTGAGTGGAGGAGTGAGTGAGTGAAGAAGTGAGTGACGGAGTTAGTGAGTGAAGAAGTGAGTAAAGGAGTGAGTGAGTGGAGGAGTGAGTGAGTGGAGGAGTGAGTGAGTGGAGGAGTGAGTGAGTGAAGAAGTGAGTGACGGAGTTAGTGAGTGAAGAAGTGAGTAAAGGAGTGAGTGAGTGGAGGAGTGAGTGAGTGGAGGAGTGAGTGACGGAGTTAGTGAGTGAGTGAAGAAGTGAGTGACGGAGTTAGTGAGTGAAGAAGTGAGTAAAGGAGTGAGTGAGTGGAGGAGTGAGTGAGTGGAGGAGTGAGTGAGTGGAGGAGTGAGTGAGTGGAGGAGTGAGTGAAGAAGTGAGTGACGGAGTTAGTGAGTGAAGAAGTGAGTAAAGGAGTGAGTGAGTGGAGGAGTGAGTGAGTGGAGGAGTGAGTGACGGAGTTAGTGAGTGAAGAAGTGAGTAAAGGAGTGAGTGAGTGGAGGAGTGAGTGAGTGGAGGAGTGAGTGAGTGGAGGAGTGAGTGAAGAAGTGAGTGACGGAGTTAGTGAGTGAAGAAGTGAGTAAAGGAGTGAGTGAGTGGAGGAGTGAGTGAGTGGAGGAGTGAGTGACGGAGTTAGTGAGTGAAGAAGTGAGTAAAGGAGTGAGTGAGTGGAGGAGTGAGTGAGTGGAGGAGTGAGTGAGTGGAGGAGTGAGTGAGTGAAGAAGTGAGTGACGGAGTTAGTGAGTGAAGAAGTGAGTAAAGGAGTGAGTGAGTGAAGAAGTGAGTGACGGAGTTAGTGAGTGAAGAAGTGAGTAAAGGAGTGAGTGAGTGGAGGAGTGAGTGAGTGGAGGAGTGAGTGACGGAGTTAGTGAGTGAGTGAAGAAGTGAGTGACGGAGTTAGTGAGTGGAGGAGTGAGTGAGTGGAGGAGTGAGTGAGTGGAGGAGTGAGTGAGTGGAGGAGTGAGTAAAGGAGTGAGTGGAGGAGTGAGTGAGTGGAGGAGTGAGTGAGTGGAGGAGTGAGTGAAGAAGTGAGTGAGTGGGAATATTCTAGTTATATCACGAGTCAGCTCACTGTGGGAGGAAAACACGAAGTCATGTTGGCCTTTGACGTTTACGATTTAGGTGTAACCCACGAGCACTGATAGGGCGCTGCCCAACCAAGAACATACGGTCAAGGCTGCTTTGCAAAACGAATCTCAACACCTCAGACGACCTATGCAGCCTTTACAGGCGACTAAAATAAGAATCATGACTAGGTGTCATTTCCGTGACGACTCGTATATTTGCAGTACTATTATTATAACCCACCCATCGTCAAGTCGAACACCCACTTTAATTCTCAACACCGTACAATACGTGAAGCCTAGCCTGGTGTCCCCCGCCATCAAATCGCTGACATAAAAATATTGCCGACATCGGTGAAAACCCACCCTCAGTCACTTACACCGGCTAAACCGACCTACGCCATCATACAAACATATCCATTAGTCTTCCCACATGAATGATTTAAGTAGGAGAAAAGGCTGAGCATTGCGTCATTAACAGATGTGCATCCCAGCTGCAGTCTTCGATCTATCACGACCGAACAAGCGCATTCAGCTTAACGAATTCTCCCTTTACGTAGCGTTTTAATCATATATGAGAACCAGAAGATTGCCTGGGGAGTCGATAACACTACGTGGAGAGGAAATGTCCCCCTGGATTTTAACCCCATCGCTTTATGGCTGTTAGTTTGCTTGTGCAATCGTGAACTCTGGGTGAGTGGGTGAGTGATTGGGTGAGTGAGTGAGTGATTGGGCGAGTGAGTGAGTGATTGGGGGAGTGAGTGAGTATTCCTATTGCATCAGCCCATGCAAGTCCAGATTACTGCAGTTTCAGTTTCTGCTCCATTTTAGTATATAATATTATGATAATGTCACAACTGGTTTGGGTTTTTTTAAATATTGGCACTCCAGAGACCAGATGTTCGTCTACCATCGATGCACTGTGCAAGTTGTCCCACTTAGTTATCTCCCCTTCGCCAGAAAACCGCTGACCTCGTCATACACGCCCCCGCCTCTTTCGATCCTCCACCAGATGTGAAGTATTGATTTTCGTGGAGTCAATCAAGGCACACATAAGACCAAATCCACTAGACACAGCCGCGTCATGAAGTATTTACCAAAAGATTCTTGAATAGATTGGACTCGCGCTGCAGTTCGTTGCAGAGCGGGTGCCGGTTTGGCGGAATTAGCGGTTGTAGGGCTCACTCCGCCATCACAGATGAGCGCTCGAATTCGCAAAACAAAATTCTTCCTACGGGTAAATTTAAGAGCATTTTGTGTTTGCCGACTTAACATCATAATGGAAATTTGTATCGGTGAGACCCCCCTGAAGATCCGGGTTCGAATTGGTCTTCAGCAAACCCATGCTTGTCGTAAGAGGCGAATAACTGAAACGGGTGGTTGATGCCAATCATCGTATCCCACATGCATGGAATGATGCTCATGATTTCAATCACAGGATAGTCTGGTCCAGACTACCTGGAGTGAAAACAAATATAAAGCTCTCGCTCTCTCTCTCTCTCTCTCTCTCTCTCCCTCCCTCTCGTTTGTCTTGCACAGACTCCATTAGGACGCCTTGATAAACTTTATTACCGCAACAGCAACAATTACTACTACTACAACCACAACTACTATCAATATATGAACTACTATCGTAAACAATCATTTCATATATCTCCGGGTCACAATTCAAAACAAAAAAACGTAGCATTGTGTGCAAAAATTGCAAGTTTAATTCTTAAAATGTTAAATCAATGATAAACAAAAAGGGTGAAAAGTACACAGGAAGCAACGGGCGATCAACAAGATGGATTATCTCCCCTTGCTTACAATTTAACCAATTTTACAACAAAAACACCATATACAGTTTAATTCCTTTCAGTATATCAAAGCAGCCTTACCACGATAACATTCCCGTTGTTAGCCTGGCACTTCCTGTGTTGTTGTGAGGATCGCGTGGTTACTATGGTGACGGCGTTGCATAGTAATTTAAATGAAGCCAACGGAGCACTACACAAATACCTAGCCTTCACACGCCGTCTCCCGAGTTCGTTGTCATAGAGACAGACTAGTTTGGATTGTGAAAATGAATACACTCGAATCGTCAACATCTTAACGAAACGTAGATCACCTGAGCTGAATACAAACAGAAATCTAGGATTAACAGCCAGACAAGGAATACCCAAATGCAAAATGCTATAGAAACATGAACGATTGTCTTAAAATGGAAGAACGTATTGCTGTGCACAATACGAGTTACCTTCTCTGAATATTGTGCAAGTGTTCATTCGTCGAAATTGTCTGGTGTACAGCAACCATTGCTTAACTGAACTAGCGACTTGAAACAATATAGGAAAAACACAAATGAAAACAGTATTACTGCTAGGGCGTAAGTATTTTGTCTGACTGGTACATGGAATTCATTAAAAATTATAAGAAAGTTTATCTTATTCTCAGTTAGGCGTCTATTATTTTTTTTATTTGACCAATTCGGCAGATCCATAAACCAACGACTAAAAAGTGTGGCCTTTATATTAACACGTTTATGTTATTATCAAATCGTGTTCATTCATAAAGAGGAAGAATAACTTTGGAATTTGATGTTCTCAATTGTTTTAAACCATAACAGAAAATGAATACTTCATCAGAACTATTTTATACATTATAGAGACACATTCACAAACTGGGCTCCGTCTTTACATTTTATTAGAACTGGATCCGGCTTACATGTATGTCGCTTGGGGTGTACGCGTCTCCCGCAATCGCTATACAGAGTGACCATTAGTCTCTACATAGACATTCATTCACAACACAGCAGCCATTAATAGGGAAGTCACCAATCTCGGAGTTTCTGTGAATGAATTTTGGTTTAACCCCACATTGAACAGTATGTTCAAGTGATGCAAGACGTTTACCACTTTGGTGAAACCCAACAGCACGAATATGGTGCTGGCAAACCTAGAAAATGGAATTCGAACCCACGACCATAGGTTTCTGCCATGCCTGTGCTGCCAATGAGTGAGTGAGTTGGGTTTAACGCCGCTTTTAACAATATTCCAGTTATATCGCGGCGTGTCAGCTTAATGTGGGAGGAAAGCCCGAAGTGATGCAGGTCTCAGACGTTTACCACTTCGGTGAAACCCACGAGCACGGGTATGGTGCTGACAAACCTAGAAACATAATCGGGGCGAACCGGGATTCGAACCCACAATCATAGGTTTCTGGCGTGCCCAAGGGACGCAACTCTGCACAGCGAATCGCGGCGCCTTAGACGACTGGGCCACCCGTGCCCCCTGTGGTGCCCATGAAGTAAGAAATAGAGGATATTGCATGTGTCGAGTGAAATATCATGTTTAAGTCAAAATTACCAAAGAATATCTAGGGCCACGGACATTCTTTACTATACATTGAGTTATGTTTTTAAACAAAAATTATTCTTGAAATTTACGAGACAGCTGTGGAAGCGAGAGGTCGAGTAATAAAAATGTTGCTTTGCGAAACGAAGTCTCGACTGACGAGTTAAATGTGAAATTTACAGTTTATAACGAAACATTTTCAAGAGAATAACACACGACAAGAAGCGACATCAACTCAATAAAAGACCATCTGTCATAAATTTGTCTTGTCAATGTGGAACTAACGTAAAAATAGAAGTCAAAAGGTTGTGTACGGGCTAGGCATTTACGATAAAGGGAGACAATTTGCGGGGAGAGACATCTTGAACTCAGCCTTTCACACTGAAGTATATAATAAATAAAGATCGTAAATATTGTTCGGCGACATAGTAAACATACCTATTTATGCGATGGCGATAGTATGCAGGAGTATTACTGTAAAATCTCAATAAAACAACGCAAATTACGATGTGATGAGTTGCCACGTGTTCTGGTTTGTGTTTGGTTTTTCAGTTCGGTTCGATTCTTTGTAGTTTTTGGAATATGGCAGGATTTATTAGAGGTAGGATATTTCAATAGGCGAACTGGGCATAGTCTCCAAAACTAAGCCCGATACATTTTGTTTATACATACAGCTTTCTGCACATGCGAAACCGTTAGATGCCTGGCCGGATTTTTAAGCGCACACGTCAATGATATAAGCAACCAGTTTACTTCACATCAGCACTAGCAAGCACTGACCTACTTTTACAGAACGCGGTCGATTGATGATATCCCATTATGACTTTCAGCCTACAACTTACTCAACACACACTCCGGCCTCGCATCACATAGCCGACAGGCAGTCACCAGCATCTTACTGGTACAGAGGCAACTATCGATCCACGTGTACGAGCGGCCAGGTGAATATCGCCCGGATGTCGTCACGATCGACCGGACTCCACTGCTCGTATAGTTGTACAGCCTTCGAATTTCACGCTAGTCCGCTAGCCCGAAACTAATAAATTATGCTAAGGACAAGTAAATATCCAATGATGGTAGTCATCAAGCAGTAGCATGTGAGGGCTGTCATTCTCAATCAGTTCTCAATGTTTCAATTTTGAAAAAAACAACCTGAATGAAACAATTATAAACATCGGACAATAGCAGGACTATAGCTACAAACTCTGAGGACTAGTCAAATAAAGTCCATTGGAGTGGTGTTATAAAAACGAATTTCTGAGGCTGAATACATACACTCACAATAATATCATGGACCCAAGAATTAGTTTGGGAGCAAAACAAGAATGAGTGTTCCTAAAACTATCTACTTTTATTGTCGATGTTACGTTTGCTTTAACTCAATACGACACTGAGACAACTGTTAGCATGTTGTTTTTTGGGGTAAAACTTGTATATAGAGCATTATACATACACCGTAAATTTGGGCTAAAATTGCCTATATGTATCTTTGGCTGTTATCCGTGGAAAACGCTTGCTGTAAATTATTTCGAAGACAAAAAACGCAGTTCGTTGTTGGATTATCTATCAACAATAAGACCACACATTTGCGATCGTTGAAGTAGTAGGGTTGACACGTTTCTTTTACTTTTCCTATGCCAAGATGGTTACACGTTTTAACATAAGTATCTTTCTTATTGGAAATTCAAAATCCATGACAATGGATATTGTTACCTATATTAAAAATCATAATCTTTCGAATTCAGTATAACCACATCTATACCAGGGGTGTTGAGATTAACTATAAAAATTTGTTGGGTTTTATTAATTTCTTTAAACTATTCCTGGACAAGGATTTAATACAAAAATGCGTCAAGAACATCTGACATTTTATCTTGCCACAGTGTTAAAGATGGCTTTCCCTCAGCTACAATGCACCCCAGCACTTTTGAATCGGGTTGTTCAAACATCACTTTACTGGTCTCCAGCCTCGTGAGTTATCAGTAAGCAAGATGAGCGGAGCATATTTACATAGACTATCACCAGAGCTCCAGATAAGCTGCGTATCTACGTACAATACGCAAATATATGAAACTTTTAACGATATTTTTAGCTGCTTGCGTACAAATACACAAAAACAATTTCGAACCCGGATAGTTGAAAAAGACTGTTTTTTTGCAATATTCCTGCATTATCACGACAGTATCAGGTAGACTGTGCCAAAAATCAATAATATCAGGGCGACTATACAAAGTTTATATACTCCCTGATTAAATTAACACTACCACAGTGTTTAATGAATACAAGCGCCCTCCGTTTAGTCAATATATAGTGTTGTGAGCTTATGTGACACGTGACACACTTAGGGCCGCACACAAACGGATGCAAACTGGTAGTCCCCTGAAGAAAACATTTTTAGCAGAATCGTTGATTACCCTAGGGAGTAATAATATACTGAATACCCAAAGAAAAATATAAATACCCCAATGAGAAGGATTACGTCAGAGTAAACATTATCTGGAGCACTGGTATGGGTCCTATTTACACACTGGGTATGAGATCGATATGGCCTCTTGTTTGTTAATAATTTGGTTTGCGGGGTTGGGTTGTTGTTTTTTTGCCAAAAAGGAATCTGTAGTAATGATAAAAATAACATTCAACTTTGTTCTCTCAGTCACCTAATAAAAAGATGTTTATCCGATTAAAATAATTGATAGCAAAACAATTTAAAGGAAAGATTTCCTTCCCTTTCTATATTGACCTACTTTGAAGGTTTTTTGTAATATTATAAATAAAAATGAAATTAGGTAACAGAGTGAACGAGGAAAGAAGACACGCTTCTCCCAACAAAAGCTTTTCCCCATTTGGCAAATTTTGCGTGGGCTGATTCGTAAAGCAAGTAGGAAAAACCTATGTTATAAGTGGAGAGAACCCTCCTTAAAACAGGCCCGTGTGTACAGTTGATATGGACTCTCTGTAACATGTACTCAGAACAAAATACATTATTGCAAAATCACTTCCGGAACATACATAGGTATATGATAAATAACATAGGTGTCAAAACACGACACAAACAACAGAGCAAAAAGGACACAATATATTAATATCTGATGGAAAAAAATACTATTACTAAATACGTTGGAATGACTAGAAGGTGTGGATTTCAATATTATGGCTATCGTTGGACGTGTCGGATTTCTTTGAACACATTTCGACACGTCCAACTATTTAAAAAAATTAAATATCGGTCTGCTTGAGCAATGTTTTGCCTTATAAATTTAATCATCAAGAATAGTAGAGTAGGTTTTACACAAATAATACTATCCCAGCCATTTCATGTTGGGGGACTCCAAAACTGGCTTCACCAATTGTATACAAACTGGCTCCTGGGGGTGACGATATGTCCTCTGACCAGTCGACTCTTCAACCACCCCTAGGCTTAACAAGACAGCCGGTATTAAAATTTCACACTGAAATATGACATTATCTTAATGACTAATAAATGTTGTCTTCAGCTTTGAATAAACAAATACGAAGAACTGTAAATTATCAGGAAACAAACGATTGAGGTGTCAAAGAAAACCTCTACAAAATAACAATATTTAAAAAAATTCGAATAACAATTGCTAGGGACTAGTTGTAAACATGAACTTTGGCATGGTCATCAACGATGTGTTGTTTGCAATACTTGACAAACATCCTCATGAACGAAGCTAGAATGGGGTCGTTACGTATGTGAACCAGACCTGGAAACGCCTTTCGGTAGAAGCGCGTGGCTTCCTCTAGGTGGTAGTGTGGAATCTTGGGGAACAAATGGTGAATTTGGTGGGTTCCGATGTTGTGGATGATGTTGTGGCACCATCCGTAGTCACGGTCAATGGAGCTGACCTGACCCCTCACGTTGTCCCAGACGCCGTCAACATACCACGGCACTTGCTCCTCCGTGTGGTGCAGGAACGTGACGATGACGAGGAAGGACGCGAACACAAATACGGGGACTCCATAATAGTATAACACATGACCGAAACCCATGACCTGAGCGTAGGAATAGACCCCGACACTCCACATGAAGAGATAGGCAAGGGAGATAACCACACCCAACACGTGACGCGTGAAGATGGGATCGCGGGGGTTGAAGTGTTTTGTTGTGCGGTGTTTGAATCCTAACACAAGGTACATAAACCACCCGAGTCCAAGACCGAATCCTGGAAGGAAGGCACGGCCATTGTCAGACTTTTCCCGAAGAGGGAAGAAAATTTCATCCTTGTCGATATTGCCTGTGTTTTTGTGATGGACACGGTGGGAAATCTTCCAACTGTAGTAGGGCGTCATGACGAAGCTGTGGAGGAACACGCCGACTGTATCGTTGAGGAGGTCGTTGTTGGAGAAGGAGCCGTGCCCACAGTCGTGGCCCACAACGAAGATTGCCATAAACAAAGTGCCCTGGAGAAGCCAATACACTGGCGTTAAGGCCAGACACAGAGACGTCGGGGCGAAATACCACATGGCCATAGCGGCCAGATAGAGAGCAAGAACAAGTACGAGGTCTTTCGCGGCATAATACAAAGACGTGGGAATTGATGCTTCAAAACAGTGGTTTGGAATCTGACGTTTGATCTCTATTATCGAAGGAAATGACTTGGTGGCTAGATCATCTGTGGCCGAAATTGTCGCCGTACCGGAAGTCGTCTGCCTCTGAGCCATTTTTCGAGTCTGCGCAGTCACCACACGCAATTCAAAGGTATCCAAACGTTCTCAGTTAGTCAGACCTGGAAGAAAACAAAGAGAAATGTTAAACTAGCAAAAACAAGAACAACCGAAAACACAACCTGGTACTGCCAGTGACGACATTGCTATGACACATATGTGAAGAAAGTATTAGAGACAAAGGAACGCTTACCTACCACAGCAACAACATAGACGTACATTGGGAATATCACATATGCCGAATCTTAGACACTGGTGTGATCATTCACACTATTGGAAATACCCTAGTCTATCCACTATCAGTGTGAACGCGAGGCAGGTGGCTTCCTAATGAAATAGGTCAATACATTAAGAATATATTTTAGTGCGCGATCAATTGACACGTGCTATGTTGAAAAGGGTTCGGCTATGGATGTAAGCTATTTGTCTGCAACAACTCTCTAAACAAACATCAATCCGTTATCTCAATTAATACTAAACATTTATCTCAGACAACCGCTTGTCCAAGCTGATCAAGCCCCGGGGGTGTAAATTCGCCTGTAGCACGAAATACTGTTCCCGACTTATTTTCACTACAATTGTACAGTTACACATTTACAGTGCAGATAACTGGTGAATATAGAGCTGATATTTTCTGTCGCTTTGGTTTTTTTTTCGAAGCATCAAATGTTGAAATATAACAAATCACCAATATAGAAGCACCAAATAGCTAAACAATCAATGTAGATTAATCATTTTTCATTACTTTACATCTTTGGAAGGATGGTCAGTGTTCAACACGTTTAACTTGTTAAGAAACTTTAACCCACGCGCCCACACTATCTTCGGGGAGTAAAATTAATTAATTTTCAGGCGAGTATTATTTAGTAAAAAAAGGGGCACTGACGTTGCCTTGTACCACATAATATCGGGTTTATATTTTTTGGGGGAGACTGGGGGTTCTCTTAAATGACAGTCAGCACTCTTCCAGCTACATAACGGCGGTCTATAAATTATCGAATAATTTATTTTTTATTTTTTTTAAATTTAAAATATTTATTAGCCGGCTCTTATGGGCAGTGATATTGTTGTCAGCCACGGAATCAGCGCTGGGTATCATTAATAAAATATATGTGTGGTAGAGCATAACACACTAACACGTTTCAATCCAGAAATAAGACACTTCGCTGTTGCGTTTCTTTGTTTTGTTGGGTTTTTTTTGTTCACACAAAGTACTTTAACATACGTCAAACTGGACTGGATCCCTAGAAACTCCCAGGAGTCAAGCTGCCGAAACGTTCCCCTAACTTGTTATCCGCGAACAACGCAACTTTCGTTTATTAACCTCACCTGATGTGTGATCAGAGGGCTGTCCACTAGCCGGCTTGCCATAACAGAGTCACCATGACAACCCCCGAAAAAGCACTCTATTAGAACCGAAAACGGATTTATAAATAATGTTTGAGGCTAGACACTTCTTGTGAAAGACTCGTTGATGTTGAAGGTTTGTCAAAAAGAAGGAGATCTTATCATTTTCGTTCACACTAAATCTTTCATTAAATCTGTGTTTGAACCTGAGAAATATTTAACATTAAATGAAATATCCCTTCTGCGAGCTATTTGTAAGTTTAGAATCTCTTTACATAATATGTTTAAACCTACAAGAAACTACAAGATGTGAGGAAGAAGATAGACTATTCAAATATTATTTGTACCTATTGTAAATTGGGGTTTATTGAAGGCAAGTTTCATCATTGTTTCATATTGTCCCCTTTAATCAAAATGATGTGCGATTCTACCAAAAGTGGCAATTTAGACATATGCTTTGATCACAAAAGGGGTTAATAAATATATTAATTTTGGTTTCACTTTTGGCAGCTATGTTAATTAAGCTGTATTAATAAATACTCATCAGCGAAGTTTGCACCACATTAAAAGAAAATAAGTGATTAATATAAGAAATCCACATTAAATGTCCTTCCCACAACATATCGATAGGCATAATGAATACCATAAATCTCATTTTGTTAGAATTAATCACATCATCGATCCTCATTTGGATAGTCACGCCGTACCTATAACGTTAATCGTTATTCGTTAGATCCAAAACACCTATACGATTTGGCGGGAACCAGTGTGGCATCCAGAACACAGAATACCGGACATCATATTGGTAAGGAATGTGCACCTGGCCAAATATTGGTATCGTTATCGTAGCGGTAAGAGCTAAGACCCCATTGTGGTCTGATATATTGTGTGAATCGTTGCAAACAGGCCGCCAAGAATGTATAATACCGGACACCTTCAGCCAATATTTAACAATACAAAAGCAAGCAGGGTCATTTTTTCTGCTTATTTTGAGCTTTATCGCTCTATTTTTCAAATAGTGATGCTGTCGCGTGCGGCTTTATTAGTAGCATCAAACAAACATGGCGGACAGGTGTCCGGTATAATGTATATGTTGCGCGAAATCTAGACTTAGGGCTTCGATCGTTTTGTGGCCCCGTGGCCTTCTAAAGCAACAGTTCCTACCATGATCGCCCATACAATCTCTAACTCACTCGTCTCTCAAATACCAAGTATAATTATCAAATATTCCAGTTATAATACATGCGTTTCACCTCATAATACGAAATATTGGCAGCCATTTTGGTTTTATAAAGGGAAACCACTCTAACTGTCAGTAAAGATCGTTACCGATTATTTGAAGTACGACGCAGCTAGTTCGACCCCAACTATGCCATAATATTATTTTTCGTATTATTTTATGTTGGATCTGACCATATTTTAGTTATTGCTTCATGATAAATGAAACATGTATCAATTCTAACCATTTTTGTATTGACCACAAGGCAGTCTTTGCGCTATAACTGCCGTCCACGGGGTTCACGGGTAAGGTGAAATGGGGTATAAAGTACCGTTCAAGATAAAAACTGTGCGTGCGTGCGTACGTGCGTGCGTGCGTGCGTGTGTTTGTTGTTTACGCCGCACTCAGCAACATTCCAGCCCAGGGTTCATACAGATCGTTGGACTCTACGCACTTTTCAAGGAAGAACATTTGTTTTCAAGGACCACTTCTATTCATCCACAATTACTTCCTGAATGCACGGATGCACACAAGTAGGTGATGTTTTCCACTTTAAGCTGAGATTTAGCAATAAAACCATTTAAACTTAACACCAACACAAAGTATTGAAGCTAACATTGCGCCCTGATTATGGGGGGTGGGGGGGGGGGGTGGGGGGGGGGGTGGGGGGGGTGGGGGGGGGGATATAACATGATACGACTTAGTTTCGTGTTCAGGAAGAATGAGGCTCAACTGCCGCTCACGATCGATAACGTCAAATTAAACTATATTTAGTAATACAAAGCGCAAAGAAATTAACGCACTTAATCCACAATAGACGGAAGACATTCTTTCCTTTTCATGTTGTAATCGCCAGGAAGTAAACAGGGACCATAGGTTTTATTGCCATCTGCATATATTCTAAAAGGTTACAGCGCTCCTATTGTTTAGCGAAACTATTGAAAAGATTGATTAAATCTGAACCTAATTACTACATTATATCAATCTTACAACAAGAAAATAGGTGACAAATAAACAACAACAGAAATCGCATTCACCCGACTCCGGGCGGCTTCGTTAATCGGTTTGTTGACTGAGACAACGGAGTGTGACGAGAGACAGGGCTACCATCTGTAAGGACAGCGAAAATAGACTTTGATGCAATAACTGATTAGTTACCGCATGGTCTATGAAGATTTCGGTATTCCAAAGGGTGCATGTTAATTAATAATTTCAACATAAACAGACAAAACAAACCGTGAAGGCTAATCGGGTTGACATTATCCGAATGGTTCCTGCTTCAACAAAAGTACCCCGCAGTGAAAGCGCCGTAAGATTTCTGATTGCGTTGGTGATAAGATCCCAAATTTATTTTGTTCCCATTTCTATATTTCATAAATTGGTATTCACATCTATCAATATTGTTCATAGATCGATAGTAATAAATACAAAAATATGCCATGGGACAGCTTTGAGGCCGAACACATATTTTGCCATTGCAACGTTATTGTAAACTTCTATCGGACGCTAGTCTGTCTTACAGACCCTGATACAAATATATATCAAATACAGCCCATGCAAGTCTATAATGTTTGGCAAGTCTAGATTACTGCAGTATCAGGAGAGAGTCACTGGGCTCCCTTTTATTATATTTTTATTAACAACTGTTTTTTCAGATATGTTTATTTCAGAGACTAGATGTTAGTCTAATCGGACGCAAATTGAACTACTATCAAACTAAATGTGTATGTACAACTGTATACTCTTCAGTGTTCATCAATACAATATGCATATTATTAATTTGCAACAAAGAAGTTCAGTTCATATACTCAAAACCGAAACAACCTTTACTGTTCGGGCAACTAAATTGAATATTATATAACTATATATCACGTCATTCTTGTCATCCCTGCTTCATGGCGTAACCCGACACCTTTGTAGTTGTCGTTATTCATCTTATTCTCAGTTAATGAATTTATTACCGGTTTTATTAGTGGAAGCACTAATCAGTCGTTCAGATCATCTGACAACGTTTAAGCCACGTGCACGACATATGTCCTACCCATACTTCCATGCGGCCATCATGGTACCTCTGCCAAAGGCCAGCGCCATGTGACGTTTCATCACATCCTACACAGTCATTCAGGATATTGCATATGTGTTTCATCTGTTTCATGTCTGACGAGTCTATACATCTAGATAAACAAATGTCATAGAATGGGTACCTTTCATGGAGAAATATCCCAAAATGTGAAAAACTATTTCCATTTGCGTAGTTATCCTATGTTTACATTGGTTGTTCGGCTCCACGTGCTGTTATCGAAGCCCTACGGAGAGCTAGCCTTACTTTGATGTATAAATATATTTTATCATGCACGCCACTGTCGCAGTTGTAGTGGCATATCTATATTATTATGCAAAACGGTATGTAAAACGCCCCAAAGGGATTGTGTTAGGCTAGTGATTTCTGATTTCAGAATAAGCGCGTTTGTTTACAAACAAGAGAAAAGTCCGATG